ACAATTTTGTGAAACTGTGAAAACTTGGAATTTTATTTGAAATCTCCTGGCTTCTAAATATTAGTAAATAATTCACATTTTCCAGTGTGATTTTTACTGTGTGGGCAAACACAAACTTGTTAGGAAGCTGAGTTGAGACTGAGGGCCAACGGTGTGCATTTGGTTGATGGATTACTTCTGCATTGGGAAAAGTCGGATGCAAAGAACGCTTCAATTCCTTCCAATGAGAAGGTTCTAGGGTTCTGCCCTTTCACTTGTTTATGATGCAAAGCCTAGGATTGGAACCCGTGGGATTAGACTGGGCCTTCCCAAATAATCCACTATAATCTAGCCTTTTCTTCTCTTCAAGACAGAGTCTCACTATGTCGCCCTTGGTAGAGTGCTGTGGCATCACAGCTCGCAGCAACTTCAAACTCTTGAGCTTAAGTGATTCTCTTGCCTCAGCCTCCCAAGTAGTTGGGACTACAGGTGCCCGCCACAACGCCTGGCTATTTTTTTTGTTGCAGTTGTCATTGCTGTTTAGCTGGCCTGGGCCAGGTTCAAACCTGCCACCCTCAGTGTATGTGGCCAGCGCTGTAACCACTGTGCTATGGGCACCAAGCCAATCTTCCCATTTCATAATCCTTAATTTTTATCATATCTGCAATGTTGTTGGCTGATTAATTAATAAAATACACTGGAAATCCTTCATGTATTAAGCCTGGATAACAGGAAGCATTGATCGGTGTTCACCATTCCTGTTATGATACATATATTTTCTCTTTTCGATCCTTAAAACAGCCCCATGTTACAGTGAGAAGCCTGCCCCTGACTCCATGTAGGTGATATGGAAAATGGAGGTGGGAGGTGGAGAGGAGAGAAGTAGGGGACAATGGACCAGATCATCTTGGTTTGTAGACTCAGTTCTACTGTTAAAAACTAAAACTGTGTTTCTAGGTCCTTTGCTTAACCCCTGTGGGACGTTTCCTCTTAAAGAATAGTTCCTTGCAACTCATCTTCTCCATAATTTTAGGAAACTGGATTTCTGACTATAATAGGAAGAATATTGGCTCCCCAAAGATGTCAACATCCTAATCCCCAGAACCTATAAATATGTTTATTTACATGGCAAAAGGGATTTAAGGACCATGGGCTGGGGAGATTATTATGGGTTACCTGGTGGGCCTAATCAAATCACACCAGTTCGTAAAAGTGGAAGAGGACAGGATAGTGAGTCGAGAGTAATACCACATGAGAAGGCCTCCCTCACCCTGTCCCATTGATGATGCTTTTGAAGATGGATAAACGGGGCATCAGCCAAGAACTGTGGGTGATTTCTGGAACGGCCCTCAATTTATAGCCAACAAGAAAATGAGGACCTCAGTCCTACAACCGCAAGGAACTGAATTTTGCCAATAACCCCAATAAGCAGGAAACGATTCTCTTCCCTAGAGCCTCAAGAAAGGAATGCAGCCTGTCGTCACTGGCAGCCTTAATTTTTAGGCTTGTGAGACCCATACTGGATGTCTGACCCACAGAACTCTAAGATAACAAATTTGTGTTTTAAGCCACTAAGTTTATAGAAATATGTTATAACAGTGACAGGAAACTAATACACTGAAGTTTTCGATTTAAAATATTTGGCTGGTGTTACTAACAATGCTGTTGAGTTCAGGAACTGATCAAAGTATGGAAATGATGTGGGATGATGAGGGATGAGTTCTTGGATATATTGAATTGGAGAGACATTCACATGGCAGTGCTTAAACCACAGTTGGCCATGTAGGGAAAGAGACTGCATGGAAGGGGCCAGTTTTTTTAGTTTCCAGTTTCTGGCTATGTTTGGCTCCCATCCTAAGTTTATGCATGCCAAATTCCTGTTCATCATAATTGGAATATATGGCCTTTGTTTAAAAAAAAAATCACCAGGGAGTTATACTGAGTACATTTTATAGATAGATCTCAATAATTTTATTTATTGACTTAGAGACATTAATAAATGAATAATGCCTTGAAATTTGCTCTTTGAGGGTTTCCAAAGGAAAATCTGAAAATTTTAAATGTTTTTCCTTTCTTTGTTTATGAATCTTTTTAACAATGGAAATGTTTTGTCTCCTAAGAGTGGCATGGAGCGCAAATATATGACTCACTGGAAATGACGACCACCTCTTTAGTTGTAACAAATGGGAAGTGACTTAGGAGAGGGCCCAAGAGAAACATAAGCTGATACTCAGGCAAGTGTAAGGCCTATGGGGATATCTCTGTGTTGGACCAGGAGTGATGTGGAGCATTGTAATGAGAGACAGAAAAAGTGAATACATGTTACTCACTGAGAGATTAAGTTCCTAAAAGAAAAAAAAAAATGCCCAAAGAGAAAAAGCAAATAGTAATGATTTCAAAATCTCGAGCTTCAATTTACCAGATTTCCTCCCTTCATCAGGTGGATCACTGTCTTTCCCCCCTGGGAACTTCTGGAAGCCCTACAGCTTCCATGATGGAAGAGGTCAGCTCTGCCCATGCCTGGGCTGGTCTAGCCCTCATCTACTTTTGGATAAAGTTTTAGCTTTTGCTTCTAAGTCCGTGCCTATCAGACCTGTCTACCCAGGGATGGTGGACCAGTTTTGTGGATTTCCCAGGAAAATTCCTTCTCTGCACTGGCTCTCCTCTTATGCTGGAGTTGCCCATTTCCTTTAATCACTAAGAAAATGGTAAAACTCAAATCAGCCTCTTTCCCTGTGTGTACACAGCTGTGGCTAAAAGATTTAGCAGTGGAGAAGGTTGGAACCCTTGGTCCCTACGGTCAGCCACTGGGCACAATTGCAAAAGAAGCAGTGTCAGCCTCTGTTGCCCTTCAACACCCTTCCCCACCTTTTGTTACTGACTCCTCCCTCCCCTCTGCCTTCATCCTGCTCCCTGCTTTTGCCTCAGGTCTGCCCCACTGTACTTCACACACTGAGGCCCCCATTGAGGCCTGTCATTCTCTGACACATGCTGAAGGTTGACCTAATTTTCTCAGTGCTTTTCCACATTGCCCAAGATGGTAGCTCTTTACTAGATGATCAGAAGAATTCAGCCAATTTGAATGAACTCATACTAAGATGTGAATGACTGATGGCCCCTTAATGCTCCCAAGGAAATTTTTTAAATTATCCCTTAAAAAGTTAACTCAACAGACTCTTTGGTGGGTAGGATATTAAAGTAGCATGAGGGATACTGAAGAGGAGAAACTGAGGAAGAGGTAATTCCAATTAAATTTGGGCACCAGAGCACCTAACCGCTCTGCCTACATCTACCTTGTTGGTTGCAGGATGATTGGGAGAACTTGAACACTCATTCAGTCCTATTTTCAAGCAGAATTATGATTTTAATTATCCCAGTACCCTGTTATCATTTCAGGAAAATGGGCTCCTAGGGGCTACCAGGTATATTTTGCTGTGCAATTGTCATTTTCCAAACATACACAATCTTTCCTATCTCAAGATACCACTATGAAAATAACTATTACTTTATAATTAATTTTTTTTTAATTTATAAGATAACACCCTATGTGGGTAAAGGTATAGGGAAGTAACACTCCCATGTATAGGATAGTATAGGACAGTATAAATTGGTTCAAATTTTCTGTAGGGCATTTTGACAATCAAATTCCGTGGAATTTCTGAAAGAAATAGCCAAGTATGTGTGCAAAAATTAAGCTGAAAGGATTGATTGCAGCACTGTTTGTAATCATGCAAAATTGCATACACCAAAATGCCCATTAAAAGGAAATTTATTGTATAGTAGATAGATGGTACATCCAAATAGTGAAATGCTATGCAGCCATCACTAATGGTGTTGTGGAAAATTTTGTGTGATATGATCCTTAGCATATGCACACATGCATATATCTATATACAATAGACATAGAAAGAGAGAGAAAAGAATATATACTAAATGTTAATGCCTTTTTCTCTGGGTGGCAAATACAGGTAGTTTTTATTTTCTTTTTGTTTATCTGTAATTTCTGAAGTTTCTCCAATAAGTGTGTATTATTTTCCTTTTAAGGGATCTGAACGTTTTCCCAAGATAAGTAACAACAGCTCTTCCAGTTTATATACCAGGGGTGTCAAATCTCATTGAAGTCGTAAGAAAAAAAGGTACTTAGCAGGTAAAGCCTGTGCTAAAGAGAAGCACAATTAATAGAAGGTTATTCTGTATAGATGTACACATTGACTTTTACACATTTTTTTTGAGACAGTCTCATTTCGTCACACTTAGTAGAATGCCATGGCATCATAGCTCACAGCAGCCTCAAATTCTTGGGCTCAAGCGATCCTCTTGCCTCAGCCTCCCAAGTAGCTGGGACTACAGGTACCCGCCCCAATGCCCAGCTATTTTTTAGAGATGGGATTTTGCTCTTGCTCAGGCCGGTCTTGAACTTGTGAGCTCAAGCAATCCACCCACCTCAGCCTGCCAGAGCATTAGGATTACAGGCGTGAGCCACCTTGCCCAGCCAACTTTTATACATTTTAATGAATATTATCCAGCAACTGAAGCTCTTAGCCATCATTTTTAGTTTGAAATGTGCTAAGCCATCCTATAACAAAACATATGGAGCACCATCGACAGGTAAAAATGGGAACGCGTGCTCCACCAGCCACAGGTCTTTGTAGAGAACTGGAAAAAAGTACAGACTAGGCTGCTGAAAATCATAGCCAGTTAACATACTGCCCTCTTTTGGTAGCTATGTGCAACTCAATTTACAGTCTCTCCCATTGAAGATGTTAATCAACGAATTTGTGCATAAACTAAACTAGTATTATTTTATAAAATAAATTTTATTGTGTGCCTTTGATTTACCACATGATGTTATAGGGCACATGTGGATAGTAAAGTGGTTACAATGAGGAGGCCTCACCTGGTTTTTGTGTGTGACAAGAACACCTAAACTCTACTTATTTGACAAAAAATCCTAACACAGTACAATTTTACTGACTTTAGTCCTCATGATAAATTTTAAATCACCTTTTTTTCCTCCACAGATAATGCCAATAATTCCAGTTTGTCCTCACCATCTGGTAAGATGTTTTTTTTTTAATGACTTGGGGGAATTTTAGGAGAATATTGTTGTGTAAGTTCTCCATGAAGTAAGGCATGCGATCAGGAACCCTGAAATTGTTTTCCTCCAAGAAGCTTTATTAAATTCTATCATCAAACCTACACCTGAAAAATCAACATAACAAACAGACAAGAGGACAGGTGTATTGATCCTTCCATATTGCTGGACCAAACCGGGGACTAAATCACTAGTGAATAAATTGTGAGTTTTCATTAAGGTAACTGCTTAAGTTTGTCAGGTTCCCCCCCCCACATTTATTCTAGAACAACCTTTTATGACAAGGATTGAGTCAACTCACATTCTATCCTTAGTTGTGTAGAAATGAGCTTCTACTGTGATTAATATTCATTTATTTAAATCAAAATCATAGTAATAGCTATGACTTCTCATGAACCCACCGTGTGCATGAAAGTCTTCAGCCATCTCATTCTGCTCTCAAGCTTGCACATAGAACTTACTATATTTATGTTATAGATGAGGAAACTGGGACTCTGAGAGAATAAAACTTGCTCACGTTCAACATTCTCTGCAGCCAGCCTACTTGGGTTTGAATATGGGCACCACCCTTCCACCCTCATTGCCAGTTGCATGATTTTGGGCAGATTTTTAATCTGTCTGTGCCTATAAATTGGGGAGAATAACAGTACCTGCTTATTGGGTAGTTGTGAAGATGAAATAATGCATGCGCCTGGCACAGAGTAACCCCCTCTCAAAATAATAACTATTATTATGAGTTATTAAGTAGTGGGGCAAAGATTCAAACCCAGGAGCACATGCTCCAAAGCCCAAGCTTATTTTACCTCATCACGGTGCGCCCTTGTTGTTAAGCTTTAGGGGCACAAGAAACCGTATTCTCCTTCTGATGGAATTGCCTTCAGCAAACTTAATCATGATGGTATCTGCAAAATCTTGTTTGCACGGAATGGGGAATGGCTCTAGTCACAGCTTGGGTTACAGGGGCCCTGGGAGAAATCCGCACAAACTGGAATTTAGGAGCCGGTGTAGCATGGAGGGATGAATGCTCAGTTGTGCCTACAGACCTCTTTGCAGAGTGTAAGCTCCCCACATTGGGAAGAATTAGTGGTCCTTAATTAAAAACCAACCTCAACCAATGATTTTGTTTGCCCCAAGTGCAAGGGATTCTACATCCATACTTTGAATCTTACTGCTCAGGAGCTGTCTTACTTCTCAAGAAATATTCTTGGTAATTTAAAAAACTAATAAATGTAGTAAATGACAAAATATGGCAGCAATAATGTCCACAGACAGGGTGTGTGTGTTTCTGCCAACACATGAACGGTCTAAAACAGATGGGCTAGCCAAGCGCCTTGACACACCCAGATTTTGTCCAAACTGGCTGAAAATCAGGCTCCCTACTGCAAAACTTATTTTAGTTGTAAAATGTGTGTGTTTGCTTTCCCCGTGTTTAGGTAGAGGTCAAACCATTGGATCTTTTTAATATTTAAACATGCAAAATGTGTGTGGTAGACGGACCTCTTAGCGTAAGTGGAGTCATTCCACAGGAAATTTATAACTTGATTGATTGTCTTAATAGCAGCCATATTTTAAAATAACTTACCAGGAAATTGTGTTAGCTCAGTATTGAGTGGTAGCAATATTTTTCATCCTAAATTCACTGTGGGAAGAGTTGCCAGGCATCATTATAACAGAATGAAGACAACATGCCAATATATTTCATGATTGCAGTTCAACAGTTTGTTTGAAATGTTTTCTAGACCTCTCTGGCTGAAAAATTCAAAAAGTGGTTATTTCTTGTATTTTGTTTATGTTTCCTCAACTTATTTCCATACTATTCCATAGTTGATAATAGGCTTTGGGAATGGAGGTCTCAGATTCCACGGGCCCATTCTCTACAATCCCCTTGATTAAATGTCTGCTCGCTGAGTGATTATGAAACTTGCAGGTTTACACCTTATTCTGCTAGTATGTTTTCTACTTCTTTTTGTAATTGTATTTCAGAAGTTTTAACTTCTTAAATGAAAACTTAATAAACAATCATATCCAAGTATTTAATTATTTTTTTTTTTCTCCTGCAGCTGAACCATCTCTTGGTTTTGTCCCCTACTCCAATCCAGGCAAGATTTTGAAAAAAAATTTAAGCCTACATTTATCCCAATTTGTTAAGTTTTTGTTTTAATTATACCTTTGTGTTGTCTTTCTCCTTGGGACAAAAAAGAGGTTGAAACGACAAGCCTCAATGGTAAGAATTTTTCTGAAGCAAGTGAAAATTGATAACCTTTAATATGACTCTAAGTGTAATGAATGGTTTCCATTTCTAAATTATTTCTGAATGCATTGAGTGGTACCAAATAACTAAAAACCAAAAACTGAAACTGAAACTTGTCAACCCTGGAGAGTGACTTAAACTTTCTGGTTAAATGATATGATTTTCATGGTCATGGAGGGAGGTGAGCCCTCCACCACTCCAATTGTCCAGAAAAGAAAAGAAATAACCACATTATGAACTATTTCCCTTGCCCTCCATCACAGTGCTATCAACTTTTACGTGACAGATTGTTTAAAAGTGGAAAGCATGGCCAGTGACTTCAATATGATTCAATATGGATTTGGAGGCACAGCAAGTTCAAAGACACCCTTTTTATAAATGATTTGATCGATTTTTATTTTATTTATTTTATTGAGACAGAGTCTCAACTGTGTCGCCCTTGCTCACGGCAACCTCAAACTCTTGGGCTCAAGCCATTCTCTTGCCTCAGCCTTCCTAGTAGTTGGGACTACAGGCGCCCACCACAACACTCAGCTATTTTTTTTGTTTGTTTAGCAGGCCTGGGCTGGGTTCGAACCCACCGGCCCTGGTGTATATGGCCAGCACCCTAACCACTGAGCTACAGGCTCCCAGCCATGATCAATTTTTAAATAGTATGACATGAAAAAAAAAAAAAGGCTTCCTCATCATCACTCTAGAGAAAAAGGCAAAAAAGTGGGCTGGCTGCATTCAAAGGAGGTAGGCAGGACAGCACATTCTGTTCCCTCCCCTCTCTGGGTAGGCAGCCTTCCATCTTAGTGTGGTCAAACCCCAACACTTTCCACAAACCCTAAGTTAGAATCAAATCTCACCATGTGGTTGGTGGTTAAGGAACTAAACAATCATAGCTGCAACTTGGACTGATTAAAACTGGTTTAAATTCATATTTGGCTCTTTGAGAAGGGCCAAAAGTAATCACTTTATATACAATTATTTTTTTGAAAATATCTTTAATTTAGCTTTGGCAGTAGCCTTTGGATCCCTTTTGTGTGTGAATGTGTGTGTGTTTTAAGTGTGATTATGTAATACACACCTTTTGATTTTTTCTCCCCAAAATTTCATCTAGAATAATGCATTCTAGAATGGTTTTCATTTAAAGAAACAACAATAGAATAGATTTCAAATTGGATTTTAAATCCATGACAGGATCAAAATGAGGTTTTCCTGAAAGTTAGTTGAATATAATGTTCAAGAACTTCAAATTTAAACTAGAATTATTTAGAATTGCTTTATGAGTGGGTGCAGTGGCTCATGCCTGTAATCCTAGCACTCTGGGAGGCCTAGGCAGGTAGATTGCCTGAGCTCAGGAGTTCAAGACCAGCCTGAGCAAGAGTGAGACCCTGTCTCTACTAAAAATAGAAAAACTAGGTGGGTGTTGTGGCAGGTGCCTATAGTCCCAGTTATTTGGTAGGCCAATGCAGGAAGATTGCTTGAGCCCACGAGTTTAAGGTTGCTGTGAACTGTGACGCCAAGGCACTTTACCCAGGGCAACAGACTGAGACTCTGTCTCAAAAAAAAAAAACCAAAACCCAAGAAATTGCTTTATAAGAATATACTACTGGTGGCTTGGCACATGTAGCTCAGTGGGTAGCGCGCCAGCCACATACACTGAAGTTGGCAGGTTCGAGCCTGGCCTGGGCCTGCTAAATAACAATAACAACTACAGCAGAGAAATAGCCAGGCTTTGTGGCCCGCGCCTATAGTCCCAACTATATGGGAGTCTGAGGCAGGAGAATTGCTTAAGCCTAAGAGTTTGAGGTTGCTGTGATACCACGGCATTCTACCAAGGGCAACAGAATGAGACTCTGTCTCAAAAAAAAAAAAAGAATGTACTGCCGGTAAAAATGTGTTACCCATCAGCAGGGCTATATAGTAAAGCCAGTATTAACGTTGGAAGTATCATATCCCTTAGAGACTTTCATTACAGTAGAAAAAGGATACAAAATATTAAGCAACGTAAATGGTTTATTTGAATGTAACAGTTATAGAAATGTTGTTATGTGTTAGACTCTGAATTTGCATTCAGGAAACACACTTTGAAGAAATGAGCATTTGCCCAGAAGTTGTGTCTCGGGCTTGGAGAACGGAGAGTGGCGAGAGGATAGGCAGCCAAGATACTGAGTAGTGTCCCCTGGCTTTTGGAAAACTCTCAAACTTCTGCATTTGGAGAAAACGAGAATGTTTAAAGAACCTATGAAGATACACATGTTTATTAGCGTGCCAGTAGTTACGCTAATTTTTATTATTTTATTTCAGATGCTACTTCAAGTGTATTATCTACTTTAAACAAAACAGGTAATATCAAGTGATTTCTAAATGTAATAGCTTCTCTTCTGTGGCCTCTTGAGTTTCTCCTTCATGTAGTCTCTGGGTTACTAAAGAGTACCTTTGTTGCCTTGCCCACTTTCCTGTGCCTTTAACCATTGATTTATGACCCCTTTTACTTTGACATTGAATTATATAATTCTGTTGTCAGTATATTCTCAAACTTCTAAATTATTACGGCCCTAGCGCTTCATTTAAAAATAACATTTATTCCGGGCTGCGCCTGTGGCTCAGTGGGTAGGGTGCCGGCCCCATATACCGAGGGTGGCGGGTTCAAGCCTGGCCCCAGCCAAACTGCAACAAAAAAAAGTAGCTGGGCATTGTGGTGAGCACCTCTACTCCCAGCTACTCGGTAGGCTGAGGCAAGAGAATCGCCTAGGCCCAGGAGCTGGAGGTTGCTGTGAGCTGTGATGCCATAGCACTCTACCAAGGGTGATAAAGTGAGACTCTGTCTCTACCAAAAAAAAAACATTTATTCCTTTTTTAATAGTTATACATATTATTAGCTCATGAAAAATGGAGAATATACAGAAATGCGAAGAAGAAAATAGAAATCATCTTTAATGTTACTTTCCTAAGATTATTAATATTAATAATTTGGTGTATTTCCATTCAGTATCATATATGCATATATTTATATACGTATACTCTATGTATGTATCCTTTGTAAAATGTCATCATTTGCACAGATTTTTATATCTTTGCTCTTTTGACTTAGTATTAAATTGGACATATTTCCCATTGTCCTTTACTAGTAATGACTTGATAATATTTCATTGTGTATCATATGCTGAACATTAAAGTTGTTTCTGGCTTTTTAGGAAAAATTGATGCAATGAACATACTGGTGTCAACATCTTTGTATTCACCCCTGATTTCTCTTGGATATATTCTAATGATTGAGCATAATAGGTCAACAGTATGAATATTTTAAGGCCCTCGATACTACTGCTCAATTATGTTCTAGAAAGGTTGTACCCAGCTACATACCTGTCAGCAGTGTGTGACAGTGTCTGTGTCACTGCCCCTTTGCTAAGTCTATGTCATATACTACTAAATCTTCCTCTCTATTTTTTAGGTTTTATTTTTTTCATTTTTTTGAGACAGTCTCGCTGTGTTGCTCTGGGAGAGTGCTGTGGCATCATAGCTCACAGCAACCTTGAACTCCTGGGCTCAAGCAATCCTCCTGCCTCAGGCTCCCGAGTCGCTGGGACTACAGGCGCCTGCCACCATAACCAGCTAATTTTTCTATTTTTAGTAGAGACGGGGTCTCACTCTTGCTCAAACTGGGTTTAGAACTCCTTAACTCAAGCAATCCACCTAGCTCGGCCTACCAGAGTGCTAGGTTTACAGGCGTGAGCCACTACACCCAGCCTTATTTTTCATTCTTGACTATAAGTGAGATTGAACATTTTCCCCTGAAAACACTTGAGTTGCTAAAGCCAGAAGTCTATTTCACCGTTGTGTTTTGTTTGTTCTGGAAAGGAAAATGTCAGGGCAAACAAAATAATATATTGGAAAGATTATTTAAAAAAAAAACAAATAAAAAAGATTTTTAATGTAAAATGCTGTCAGCCTCTACAAGTACCACCAATCCTTGCCCGTGGTCACACACTGAAACAGAAACTCATCAATACCACACACACACACAAAATGAGGTTTCTAAAACGGCCAATACTGTAATGTTTCATTCTTAAGTATGTCTCCAACCTCCGAGCTTGGTCTTTTCTTCAGAATTTGTCCATCCGCCCTAGGAGACAGAACTTCTTTGCAATCCATGCCTTGAACACTGACTCTTCTAACTGGCCGTCCTTCCAGCAAAGATTTCTGATCCTGGTTGTCTGTAACCTGGAGAAATGAACCATGGACTCTGTCCCCAGAGTGTGTTGGGAAGATCTGATCTATCTAAAGTTGGCTTCTTCAGGGCACGTTACTGTTTGCATATGAGTCACTGACTTTGAACAGTCCTGGTTCTGCCGTGGGCTTGTGTGACTGTAGGTACATGGTCTTGACCTCTCTGAGAATAGTTTTATATAGCAGTATAATGGGGATAGTATGGTATTAACTCCTAAAGAAGATAGCAGGACACTTGATTGTGGGGCATAGTAACAATATTTTAGAACCATGTATACTATTCACATTAATTTTTACTTCAAATCACCTTTACAACCTATCACCTGAAGGTCCTGATAGTGACTTATTTCTGCATATCTGAAGTGTCAGTCCACATTCATTTGTCTAGCAGCAGTGCGTGGAAATTGAAGGAGAATTACACAAGCAGTGAGTTGTGTCATGGGTGTGATCTAACTGGGTAAACATGGGACTCCGACTCCCAGACCCACCCTATGTATGCCAATGCTACATGATCTGTGTACGCAAGTCTCATACATTCTGCTGCTGAGATGACCAGTAGTGTCTTAAAGGTGTCAACAGTGTGATTTTCTTAGCACTTCACTGAAATGATGCTCGTGGCAAATTGTTTTTTCAAGACAAGCAACAATTCTGCTCTAATATTTAAATTGCTTCTTTGCAGAAAAAACTAAAATCACTATAGTAAAAACCTTCAATGCATCAGGTATGACTTATTATCAATATCAAGACTTTCTTTTTGTTACAAAAAAGTAAAATTAAACAAATGGCTGGTGTATATGATTTCTTTCCCTTTGCTTCTACCTTTTAAAAATGAAATCTGTTCTTGATGAATAGATGTTAATGCACTGGGTACCTGACCTTATACTAGGTGTTTGGGGCTGTACAATAATGATCATACACGGTACCCACCCTCAAAAATCTAGAATATGGGAGGTGGGGAGACAAAGCAAACAAACAGAGAGCCAACATGAACATGCACGGGATAAAGACAGTGATTACACAAGTATTTCTGACATGGTTAAGAGGTATGGAAGATAGAGGGGCTGGTGCTAGTGAGTTTATAGACAGGATGCAATTAATGAAAGAGTTAGAGAAGTAAACTTCAAACTCTTCTTAAATCAAAGAAAAGGTGTACTTTTAAGTTCCTGCTGCAAGACTAGGTGCATGAGACATGCTCAACAGAAGCTTCAGATTGGTATCAAGCAGGGATTGCCAAACTGTTGCCAAGGGTCAAATTTGGCCCACTTCCTGTTTTTGTAAATAAAGTTTTATTGGAACACTGCCATGCCCATTTGTTTGCATATTTTCTATGGCTACTTTTCCTCTACATAGAACAGTAGAATTGAGTAGTTGCAAGGGAGACCATATGACCCACAAACCCTACAGTACTTAACTATCTAACCCTTCATAGTTTTCTCTCTCATAGTTGAAGAAATAACCTGTGGACATGTACTTGGAGATTATAGATGAGCCCTAGCAACAGGAAAGAAAATTCTCAGCATGAATGAGCAGGAAAAAGACACCTATCACTAGAAATGGAGGTGCAGCTAAAATTTAGAAAAAGATGAGTGATGGTGGAATGAAAGGCTTAGCAAACAATAGATCCGTGGTATAAAAGACATTTAATGCATTACTACCCACCACCTATATATTAATATTTGCATAATACATCTGTTATGGTGAGTTCTATCTATAAGCAATTATATTTGAAATGACATCATTCTCTTTTGGTGTGGGTAACGTTGCTGTGGAACAATACAGAAATCTATGCGTCAGGTTACTTTTGGCACCGGAATTCAGTTTGCTCACAAAATCAAAACTCTTAGCTAAAGCATGGTGCCTATACACCAATAAATCATACCTGCAGCAACAGGCTCACGTGCACTGACTCGAATTAGAATTTTAGTTTGTGTCCAGAATGGTTTTCTCATAGTAACAAACTAAGGACTCATAACGTGCAATGGAAATAAACTAGCAATTGAGCATTGCATGCATAATTCTGACCAAACAAGCCCAGGCAAGGAGCCCACAGTATTTCTTAATCTAACAAGCTTTTTTCCCTTGGCAGTTGGCTTAGTACCTTATCAGCATTTGCCCCTCCCATTTGCTCTGGATTTCTTAATTTGTAACAAAAGGATGCAATTAATGAAGGGAAGATTCGGAATGAAGTAAACCTTGAGCTCTTTTGAGATCAAAGAAGGGATGTCCTTTCACCAAAGAAGAGAGTGTTTCTCAGGATAATATGTATGAAGTTTTTTGTTCTAACAAGGCTCGTTTTATCTCCCATTCATCTCTGCCTCTTTTGTGTGACTGTGTGGTCTATTGTCCTGGCCACCCCTTTACTTTGCCCTCACCAATAAGTAAATTAAAAATTAATCATTATTTGCTGACCAGTGTCCCCCACTAGATCGTAAGTTCCTTGAGGTCAGGGTGTATATTGGGAACCTCCCCAGACCGGTAGGATAGGGCAGGTGCTCAGCAAATATGTTTTGAATTTTGTAGTTGTTGCCCACGCAGTGATATCGTGACATTGATATTATTTCACACTTACATTTGCATAAAGAGCTAGGATTCACGTTCGCATGTTCATGGGCTCCCCTTCTGGGGAAAAGAGGATCTATCGTTAAGGATCTATTCCATTTGTACGGTCTGATTTGTATTTATAGCGTTGTTTTTATGGATAAGAGAAGGGTTAATGAGGACAGGAGGTGGGAGTCAGAGACATACTAAAGGTTAGTAAAGAATTAAGTTCCATAGCTGACCAACTAAGAAATGAAAACTTGTTCATTCCTTTGGTCTTTTTGGAATTCATCCAGCCAATTATATCCAGCTTATAATATTTCGGGTCCACATTTGATGCCTAAATTTGTGAATTCTCTTGCCAATGCAGTATGTAAGTGCAGGAGTTAACATGCTTAACTGGCTGGGTTGTGTTTTCTTTGCAGGGGTCAAGGCCCAGAGAAATATCTGCAATTTGTCATCTATTTGCAATGACTCAGGTTAGTTCTTGTGTACATTACACATTACAGATAAATTTGCTCCATAGAGAAAACGAGTGTGTTTTTTTTTTTTCCTCTTGAGTATGTGGTATGTACCTCTCTGATCTGTCGCTTTTCATGCCACCTGGCTACTAAGAGTTCCTCATAAAAACAAAAGCAAATTCTAGATCTCGTTGAAATCGTCTTCCCATTGTCTAGTGAGAAGATGGATTAACATCCTTAACGTGAGACATGAAATTCTACAACAAATATTTTTCATTATAGCTTTAAATCCATAGCTAACACCCTTAGAGTTAATTCAAGAACGTAATTAATAATTATTGAAAGTCACTTCTTATATGTAAAACCCTCAAGCTTTGCCCATAGGACCTTCAAGTATTCTAGCCTAGAAATAGGATGCTGCTTTTTGCTAAGAGTAAAACAAATTAGCCTGTTGAAAGTTGCAGCCTCACATCCACCTAGACTAATTGACTAATTTCAGTGGTGTCCATAGTGTACTTTGCCATCTCTAACTAAGACTGTCCACTACTCTTTAAACATTGAGATGGAAATGTCTTGAGAACATGCTATTTTTGAAATGGGAATATTTTTCCCTTCTGCCATGAGCCAGGAGGAATGAAACAGCCCCTTTTATCACGTTGCTTTGGCTCTCTGGGCTCCTTTCCTTGTTAAAACCAATGAAAGCAAATGTGAAAAACAGAAAAATATGGTGTGGCAGGTCAGAACTGGCCAGGAGATCATGGAAAGAGAGAAGACGAAGGTGACAAGGTATTTTATGACGTTAAAGTCTTAGTGTGACTCCAGTAATAAGCAGTCATTACAGAAATGTTTTCTTTTCTTCTGTCCCTTTTAAGAGTTCAATGATTTGTTTAAAAAACATAGGTGCCCATTTTAAGTAAAACAAATTAGGGTCGGATAGATTAGAAAACAAGAAAGCATCCTATTAAAAGAACGTTTCACAGACACTTTCTGTCATGCAAATGGTGAGATTTGGTCATCTGAGCTTCTGGCTGATAACTATGCTCCAGGTAGAATATGGGAAGGAATATTGGCTGGTTTGGGTTAAAGAAAAGTCTTGGGTATATTTCATTTTCATATATCGTATGACTCTCACTTCTCTTTTCCTCCTCCGTCTCTCCCTGTTCTTTGACCCTTCCTTCACTCATTTTTTTTTTTTCTAATGTCATTATTTTTCATGCTTCATCTATGTTTTGGGCTGGTGACTAATGTCTAGTTCAGTGTTGTGTCTACGCAATGTTTGATAACTTTGAAAATTGAATGTGTAGCTAAAAGACATAACCAAAAAAAAAAACTGGTCATCTCAAATAACAGATGCCAGAAAGCTGGTTGGAGTAATGTTTTTCCCAATTAAGTGACTGAATTGACCATTTGTTTTAGTGTCTGGTGAAAATAACCTCATCAGGGAACCAACTCTTTTGGCATCAGAAATCCCGTGATATCCTGCCAGAAATTGGAAACCTTTACTTCTTACAGGTTCCAATCTGGACTTATTAAAGGAGTGGAGGCTGGTGAAGAAACTGGGAGTTGACCAAGAAGAGTTAGGCTGGGGATCAAAAGGGGGGTGCCTTCCTGGTTGCCCTATTACCATGTCGTCTTTTCTTGAAACTCAGCATGCACTCAATAAGAACAGAGGGAGAGAAATTGTGGGTGTTGGCTCACACCTGTATGTGCCCACAACACAATCTCAGCATTTAAAAGCTAAGATTTATAGAATATATAAGTAATTCTTATGCAGATATTAAGTATCTTCATTTTTAATTAGATACTGTATTAATTGAAATTTCAACATTGATATGGTGAGGTTCTCAGTAGAGAAGTTGCTGAAATAGATCATGTTAATCACTAGGGGTTTTGTTGGCCATTTTTAAGTAGAAGTGGACCATCAGGTATATGGCTATGGGAATCAGTTGTATTTTGGGGTACAATTAAAGATGATAAGATGAGGAGACAGGCCTTCAACCTGCTAGCTCAGAGGTTGGCAAATATCTACCCATAATTCAAATGTGGTCTGGTTTTTGTAAATAAAGTTTTATTGGCATGCAGCCTTGCCTACCCATTTACATATTGCCTATGGCTGCTTTCTGGCTAGTTGCAACAGAGGACTTACAGCCCATGAAGCCTCAAATATTTGCTATCTGATCTATCACCAAAAATGTTGGCTGAACCCTGCTCTAGTTTGTATGCCATCCTTGCGCTGTTGCTCAGGCCAGCTTTGGGTCCCTGTGGATTATGAAGTTACACCATGTACTTCTGTTTAGGAGTCTCTATTTTATTTGTTTCCAGCTGGAGTCAAAGCCCCTGGGGGAATACCCTGCAGGAAACATACTGACTAAAATTGAGTTCATTATTTCCCAATGTGAGCATTTTAAGAACCATTTTCTGGCATTTCTGGAGTAAAAGTCACAAGGAGTTGTTCAAAGGAAAAGATTTGCCGTCCATATTATCCAGGTTTCAACTTTGTTCCTAGGAAAGAGGTTGCATTTGGTAGCTATATTTATTTTTAGTGGTAGTTAGATTTTAAAAACAAAACAAAACAAAAAAACTGGCAAAGCATCAGTAATTCACAAGTCAGAGGGAGGCGTTTGTTAAGGATAAATAGACTTCCATACAGTAGCTTAACTGCTGAGAATCACTTTTTCCTTCACTCTGTTATCTATGTAACTACAGATACACATATAGCAACTTAAAAAAAATTTTTTTTAAGGCTTAACATTAAAGCCACAGTTTCCCCAGTTAGCATCTTTAAGGGAAACAGACTACTGAAAAGAGGCTGGGCACCTGTAGGTGAGTGGTTAGATCACTAGCCCTGTGCAGTGGGGGTGGCAGGTTTGAACCTAGCCTGGGCCTGCTTAATTAAAAAAAAAAAAAAAAAAAGAAGAAGCCGCATAGAAGGGTAAACTTTGTTAAGTTTTCTCTCTTTCTGAATTCCCATATAAAATTGATAGTTCTTACTTTCTGAAAATTATATTGTTAAATCATAAAGAGTAAATGTGAATAAAAACAAAGAATTTGATGCTACTTTATAGAGTCATTGGATAATCTTTTTATATTGTATGAATCCTCAAGCTTGAAAGATAGAAGTCTCAAACTTATTTTTGAAAATTTATTTTTAGTATTTTTTAGAGGTGAGATAATGTTTCGATATGATGAAGAAAGCAACGTTACCCTGGTAGGTTTTAAAGATTTTTCTTATTACAATCGTAAAAGATGAATTCATGCATACTGAAAGATTTGTTTAAGATTCATATTATTTTATGATTTTTAGCATATTTACTTTTGTGACCAAATTTAAATAAAATAGATGTTATGGAATCCCTAGCTTTGTCTTGAGGGCTTAAGTTGATAGAAATCATGATTATTTTATTAATGGTTGGTATATTTTAGTTTTCATTAGGATTGCTGCTGAGTAAGAATTTAATATGATGCAATTCTATTACCAATTAAAATTTAAAATTATATTAGCAATTTCCAGCAAGAAGAAATATATGTATTGAATCTAAGAATAATCTTCTGAATCTGATCCCGTTCAGTTGGCTTCAAAGATTCTGGCTGAATGTGGTTTGTTCATTCAGTGAATATTTCTGAGCACCTATCATGTGCCAGGCAATGAGCTGATTGCCAGAAATGCAGTGATAGCTGCTATCAAGTTTCCCTTTTTAAATTGGGGTCCATTACTTAAATCTGGGACCTTTCGTAGTGAGAGCTTTAAAAGTGTTCTTTGGGGGGACTCCTTGAAATGAAGAAAGACAGAAATTAGCATATGAGAACTACTGACTCAGACTTTTTTTTTTCAGGAAAACATGAAACAAAAGCTGTCTCAGCCAATATGGATTAACTTTTGAGACCCACTTGTTCCCTCCTTCCCTCTCTTGTTTAAATAATTGCAGCTTGATCATTTGAGGGACAAGGTTTCATGTAATTAGGACTCAATCTTTGGGGTGTAGTTCTTTAGGTAGGCAACAAAGCTGAAGAACAACTTCTTGTTAGAGAGTGAAGAAAAACGAAATAAAACGTTTGTTGTATTCTTAATGGTTTTGTGCTTCTAACAGAATCAAGAGATAACTAATGGCACCTTAACTGGAGTCCTGTCTCTGAGTGAATTGAAGTGAGTAATCTGTAGTTTGATTTAAAACTTCAGACATCAACTATGAAAAAATACTTGTTGAGCCATCTTTGCTTGTGAAAACTGAGAAACAGACCCCAAAGTTACAGAGCTAATTCATTCTTGACTTCCTTGCAAACTAACCACAGTCACATGTCATCAACTAATATCCCCATGAAGCTGTTCTCTCTGATGCTCTGAAGTTAACCTAATGGCTTCCTTTAAATTGGTATTTGAGTTTTAATATGATTTGGTGTCCACCATGATTGAAAGAAGAATTCAAGGTATATGATTTTTTCATGCTTGTAATTCCCAAGTCAGAGAGAGGACTTTGTTAAGTAGACCTTGGCTTTCAAGGACAAGCACAGACAACAAGAAATGCGTTACCAATAGGTACCCTCAGTTAAACAGTAGGTCAACATGTTGGCCAGCATGGTCAACATGTTGGTCAACATGACAGCCCTATGGCTGTCTCTGACTATCACTGAAAGGGCCAACTTCATATCTTCCCTCATGTCAGGGAAGGAGCATCAGAGATGAAATTCATCTACTCTTAACATCGCTACTACCTCACAAATGAGATTGTTGTACACTTTTGAAGTAAATTTACTCTAGTATCTGTGATGACAGTGAAAAGAAAACCTTTCCTAGGGTCTTCTTATGGGTCTTTTCAAGTTAGCATTTTGACCTGGCTGCTTCTGACGATTCACCACTGCCTAAGCAGAGAGGAACACTACGATTCCACTTGGCAGATACCAAACATCCTTAGGGCCTGGTTAAAATTTCAACCTAGTGAGAACTGGGATTGGGGCAGGTATACTTCACGTCCTTTATGCCTATTCTTTGACGTCCTGAGGAAAATGCAGCTTTCCTAACTATTCAAAGTTATGTATGTGAGATGAAAAGCAGAAAGTATCAATGCCCAAGAAGGATTTTAAACTTTAGATGGACGATAATACAGGATATATTTTTTTAAATTCATCAATTTACAACTAGAACACAACTTAGCACACTTGTGAGAAAGTAATCTTAATTACTACATTAGAAGTGGCATTGAGTTCAGTTAAGGTCACCAAGCATTTATTGAGCACCTACTATGTACTCAGCCTTGGGGATACAGAGGGGGATAAACTCAACTCTCTGAGATGGAAAACCAAGTCTAGAACAGTGGTTCTCATTGCTACCTGCATATTAAAATTACCTGGGGAGCTTTCAAAAATCCCAGTGCCTGGGTGCACTCCATAACAATGAAATCAGTATTTGGTGGCTCAGTCCTGGGCATCTTTGGTTTCAAATACTCCGTAGGTGTTTCTCAGATGAGGCCAATTTGGAGAACCAGGGCTCTAGGGCATTGTTTTGCAACCTCCACAGCACATTTAAATTATGTTGATCAAAAGAAAAAGAGTAACAAAAAGAATATATTTACTGTCCTTCAAACTTCTTTTGAAAATAATTTAATCCAGGGGTGGGCACAGTGCCTCACACCTGTAGTCCTAGCACTCTGGGAGGCCAAGGCAGGTGGATTGCCTAAGTTCACAGGTTCTAGACCAGCCTGAGCCAGAGCAAGGAACCCACCCCCCAAAAAATAGCCGGGTGTTGTGGCAGGTGCCTGTAGTCCCAACTACTCAGGAGGCTGAGGCAAGAGGATAGCTTGAGCCCAAGAGTTGGAGGTTGCTGTGAGCTATGACAGCACAGTACTCTTATCAAGGGCAAAAAAGTGTGACTCTGTCTCAAAAAAAAAATAGTTTTATTAATGATCTTCAAAAGTTTTCAAGGCACAACTAAGATCTTCTCATCACATACCAGTGTGTCGTGGCACACTGCTTAAAAATCCCTGCCCTTGAGTCAGCTGATGGAGACACAGGGTGCGAACAAATGGTAACAATACAGTACAAACCCTGCTCTGAAGGTGGCGTGTTTAGGGTACTAAGGGATGTTCTGTGTATCTGAATATAGAGCAGGTCAAGCAGTTAGACCTGACTGGAGCGGATAGGGAAAGCCCGAAAGAAGGTGGCCTGCTAGTAAAGTTAGGACAAGTGGCTTCTGAGGACTTGAGAAATTAGCTGACCACTGCCATGACCCTGCCCTTCCTCCAGACCCTTCCTAGTGCCACCATTCCTTGGAGCAGGGATTTTCAGCTTTGGCACTTTTTGACATTTTAGGTGTGATAATTCTTTGTGATGGGGGCTGTCCTGTCCACGGTGGGGTGCTAGTTGGCATCCCTGGCCTCTACCCACTGCATGCCTCTAGCACCTTCCCCACTATAAAAACCAAAACTGTCCCTACACAATTGCCACGTATTCCCTGGGGGGCAGAGTCGCCCCTGAGAGCCATGGTCTTGGAATGAATTCTTTAGCTACATTTCTTTCATCATAACTTCATGTTTGCTTTAAGAAGCCCTGCCTCTTTGGAGAAATTGAGGTGTTGACTCTGCACCTGTGGCTCAAGTGGCTAAGGCGCCAGCCACATACACCTAAGGTGGCGGGTTCGAATCCAGCCCGGCCCACCAAACAACAATAATGGCTGCAACCAAAAAATAGCCGGGCGTTGTAGCAGGTGCCTATGGTCCCAGCTACTTGGGAGGCTGAGGCAGGAGACTTGCTTGAGCCTGGGAGTTGGAGGTTGCTGTGAGCAATGAAGCCATGGCACTCTACCCAGGGGACAGCTTGAGGCTCTGTCTCAAAAAAAAAAAAAAAGAAATTGAGGTGTTGTTGGAGTAAGATTGGGGGAAAGGAATAAGAAATTTCTAGAGGGGAGTTGTGAGGGGAAGGCAGGGCAAGAGAGGGCAGGTTAGGTCAGTTGAAGAGGGGGATGAGGAAGAAATCAGAGGTACAGGGTCCCCTGGGTGAGTGGCTTGCCCCTCTCAGAAATATTCACCGCAGGCCAGCTCTTTTCTGGCCTTCCACCAGAGGAAGCTGGCTGGAGTTCGTAGCAGCCTAATGAATAACGAGATTGTTCAGCCATAATTTATATCTTGCTCTTGGCTAGAACCGGTACAGCCCCTGTCTGGATAGTTTCCCTTGTCGTATAAATAATTTATTTTTGCCACATAGGAATCTCTTATTATACCCTGTCTTTCTTCAAAGTGAACACCGTAATGAATACCATGTGCTTGTTTTAATTACTAAAAATGTAACTTGTTTTGAATGTCGTATGCTAATGGTCTCCTTCATGTCAATTTCTCTCATTCATTTTATTAACAGACGATCAGAGCTCAACAAAACTCTGCAGACTCTAAGTGAGGTAATCATAGTACACCCTGTACCTTGTTTATAATTATTGTTATTTGGGGGGAAAGCATGAAGTTCTGCCTTGCTGGGGAGCTATGAATGCAAATTCCCCCACGTTTGTTGTGTAAAAGACTGAATGGACTAGCTCTGTTATTACAGAAATCACAAGTAGGAGCAATGAGTAGACATTACAAGGAAGTAGATTTTACCTCCTGTAAAACCAAAAGTCTCTTACGATAAAAATTTCAGGAAAATGAGCTCTCTTGTGTAGTGGTGACCTCTCCAACACCAGAGGTATCCAACCCCAGCTTTTATGGCTTGAATAGTTTTGATGATAGGCCGGGAATCTGACTGTGAATTGGATGATCCCTAGGGGGTTCTTGTGGTTCTAAAATTCTGTGATTAGCCCTGGGTTGTCTTTGCTGGCATTTCCAACTGTCAAATTAACATGTATATTTCCTTTGTTTGTTTCAGACTTATTTTATAGTGTGTGCTATAGCAGAGACTCAAAGGTCAGTCATTTTTAATGCTTTTGCAAATATCATTATTTCTCCGTTTATGAGAAATAAATGTATTAGGGGAAATTTAATTAAATTGCAAATTCAGTGAGTTCCTCTGAAATAAATACATCTTAGTGAAACTTTAGATTTATGTACTTTTACCTTTCCAAACAATGATATGTCACATCCGTCTTCTGGTTTCTTTATGAAGCTCAGAGGAGTGATCGCTATCAGGCCCTTTACTGTAGCCTGAAGTGCCGCGCGTATAACCGAGAAATGGCTCCCAGTGGTCCAGGCAGGGCAAAGACCAGACAGAAAAGAAGGAACATAATATTGAGCTTGGGAGAAGGAGAGAGTGGAATAAAAAGATTGGAAAGAAAGAGAAAAGGAAAAATTAAGAAGTGCATACAGTGGTGAATCAGAGATTGTCCAACAATCATCTGGGGTTACACAGATTATCATTTTAAATTGTGTCTACTGGCACCGAGCTCTGGGAGGCTGAAATGGGTGGATCGTCTGAGCTCAGGAGTTGGAGACCAGCCTGAGCAAGAGTGAAACCCTGTCTTTACTGAAAATAGAAAAACTAGCCAGATGTGGTGACAGCCACCTGTAGTCCCAGCTACGTGGGAGGGTGAGGCAAGAGGATCATTTGAGCCCAAGAGACTGAGGTTGTGTGAGCTATGATGTCATGGCACTCTACCCAGGTCAACAGAATGAAATTTTTGTTTCAAAAAAAAAAAAAAAAAGAAAAAATTGTATCCATTGGCTATCCTTGCTGCACAAACCCAGTGGTTTATTGAACAGTAATCTCACTATTGGAATCCTGAGCATTCCATGGGAGTCAAAGTCCTAGAAAATGACAATTTTCATTTATCAGACTATTCACTGGTACAAATAAGGGCAAGTCTTCCATAAAATTGCAGGTTGAATCCCTATCCAGTGGATGCATTTAGTTCATTTAACTTAACCTCTTTTTGTTATTTGCAACATTAAATTTTTTTCCACTTAAATCAAAGCTAAAGTAAAAACAAAGAGAATATCTTAAAATCAAAGTTGTCTGATGGTCTAGATCAGTGGTTCTCAACTTTCTTAATACCACGACTCTTTAATCCAATTCCTTGTGTTGTGGTGACCCCCCCCAACCATAACATTATTTTCGTTGCTACTTCATAACTGTAATTTTGCTACTGTAATGAATCGTAATGTAAATATCTGATATGCAGGATGTATTTTCATTATCACAAAGGGGTCTCAACCCACAGGCCTAGGTTGGCTGGTCTGGCTCGGCGCCTGTGGCTCAAGTGGCTAAGACGCCAGCCATATACACCCAAGGTGGCGAGTTCGAATCCAGCCCGGGCCCACCAAACAACAATGACAGCTGCAACCAAAAAATAGCCAGGTGTTGTGGCGGGCACTTGTGGTCCCAGCTACTTGGGAGGCTGAGGCAGGAGACTCGCTTGAGCCCAGGAGTTGGAGGTTGCTGTGAGCTGTGATGCCACAGCACTCTACCCAGGGGGACAGCTTGAGGCTCTGTCTCAAAAAAAAAAAAAAAAAAGAGAATAGCTGGTCTAGATTGAATTGCCAGAGAAATTTTGGGTTTAAGAGACTCTGAGGTTCATCTAGGCGGGTATGTGAAAGGGCTCCCATGATGGAAACTCAGTTGCCTGTAGACACCAACCAAGTGGCCAGCTGGAGTGGGGGAGGGGGTGGGGATAAGACCACACATGTCAATTGAGTTGTTCTACCCCTGCCTGTTCGTTGGGGAGACAAAAAGAACCAGTATGTGGTGAGACAGTCTCTGGTTGGTAACCCCTGTGAATGTGAACCTCTATAAAAGTCTCTTAGTATAAAGCCTTTTGGATAAAGTTCAGACCACTAGAAATGGGTATTTGCAAAATATCCATTGCCAATTATTGGGGTGGCTTTTCAAGTTCACAGTGTCATTGTGCCCATTCCTCACTCTAAGGCTGCAAAAGCAATTCCAAAGAGATAGGTAGGTTTCTGGTTTTGTAACATTCTGGTTGTGTATATTTCTCTTTACAGCACATTAAATTGTACTTTCACAATAAAACTGAATAAGACAACAAATGTATGTGCTGTCATATTTGCTTTGAAAAGTGTAAAGATTCGACCCCTGGGTAAGTCATCTCTATCCTTATTACTGTGTTCATCTTTGTGTGATTTTGATGTGTTATTTTTTCAATTGAAAATATAATTAATACATCTGCATATATTACAGCTTTCTGTTTTGACTCCTTGGTCCTGGGGCAATTTTCCGAGAGCCCCAGACAGTAATTTTTCCTGCTTTCTAATAAAACTTCACTATATCATATTTGAAAACATGACAAAACAAACCCTATTGAGGAACAAATTCTGTTTGGAGTGTTTGATGGATTGCTACTGTATATATTTACAGCGTGCCACATGGTATTTTGATTTGCATTGTGGAATGGCTAAATGAAGCTATTTACATCTGCATTACCTCACATACTTACCATTTTGTTGTGGTACGGACAGTTAAAGTCTACTCTCCTAGCAATCTTCAAATCCATGTGGGTCATTACAAAAGTTTTGAGATATACAAAAATCAAAACATGTAAAGTCCACGTGGAAGGAAGTAAGTGAGCCCTCCTAGCAACACCAGCAAGCCAGCAAGTTGAAACTTGCACATATGAATCAGAAAACTGAATCACACCAACTGTGTTTCTTGGAAGTGAAGTAATGGACCATAACACAGTCGGTCTCCAAACTTTCATGTGTGTATAGTACATTATTATTAACCGTTGTCACCACGTTGTACGTGTACAATAGATCTTTTTAACTTACTCCTCTTATCTGAATGAAATTTTGTGTCCTGTGACCCACATCTCACCAATCTCCCAACCCCATCACCCACTAGTGAGTACCATTTCCATCTCTGTGAATTTGATTATTTTATTCATTTATTTTTTTTAGGTCCTTAAGCTTTTTTTTTTTTTTTTCAGCTTTTGGCCGGGGCTGGGTTTGAACCCACCACCTCCGGTATATGGGGCTGGCACCCTACTCCTTGAGCCACAGGCGCCGCCCCTTAAGCTTTTATTTTAGTACAAAATACTATCGAAATGAACTCACACTGAACCGAGTTCAATTATTTTAGATTCCACGTATTGGCCATGCTGGGTCTGGCCGATTTCCCTCCGCATCATGCTCTCCAGGATGCTACTTCAGAATTCCTCTTAGCAAGTGCTGAAGAGTGATTGATACTGCATGCATATAACCACAAAAATATTCCCTCAATAAATGTTTTTGAGTATTATCCACTTTGTATTCAGTATGTAATTGTCAACATAATGGCTTCTAATTAATTTTATTGCCTATTTGAGACAATCACTCTTTAGAACACAGCTGTGTAAGAACTGTAAGGCTCCTGGCTTCCATCTTGCTTTATTCTTGACCATGAATTTTCTTCTTCCTTGTTCTTTTGTCTCCTCCAGAACACTGCTGCTGTTCTGTCAGGACACCCTGCCCTTCCTCCCCAGAGGACTTGGCAAAACTGCAATGGTACGTAGCAAACATGCTGACCCTTTTCCAAAAAGGAAAAAAAATAATAATGTTTAGTCACCATGCTGGCTAAAGAGTTTGGGGATTTCAGTAGTGAAAAAAGGCTTTTACACACAGTTTTCTGCTATACTATGATGTTTCCACTTGGGCCATTGCCTTAAATCAATGGTTCGCAACCTTAGCTGCACATTGGAATAGCCTAGGAAGCATTAAAAGTATCCTGAAGGCCCACAGACTTACCAACTAAATGCTTTGTCATTTAAAATAATTTTGCCAATATGATGGATAAAAAATGGAATCTCAGTATTACTTTTATTAGCATTTCTCTTATTATGGCTGAGTCTGTCTTTTTTTTTTTTTTTTTTCTGAGACAGAGTCTCAAACTGTTGCCCTGGGTAGAGTGCTATGGCGTCACAGCTCACAGCCACCTCAAACTCTTGGACTTAAGTGATTCTCTTGCCTCAGCCTCCCAAGTAGCTGGGACTACATGCACCCGCTACAATGCGTGGCTTTTTTTTTTGTTGCAGTTGTCATTGTTGTTTTAGCTGGCCCCAGCTGGGTTCGAACCCACCAGCCTTGGCGTATGTGGCCAGCGCCCAACCCACTGAGCTATGGGCGCCGCCACCAGCTGAGTCTGTTTTATTGGGGCACATGCATACAAGACTGCATCTGAACATTTGATCATATGCTTGGGGGCTGTTTTTGTGGCTTTATGTGAATTGCATGTTCGCATCTTTTCCTCATTTGTTCCCAATGGATATTATCAATCTTCAAGAGGACTTTATATATCGTGGATATCATCTCTTTAGCTGTGGTGTATGTTGTGTTCTCCCAGTTTGTCAGTTGTCTTTGGATGTTGTTTATCATGTCTTTGTCATGCAAATTATTTACTTCCTTATTTTTGGAGACAGGGTCTCACTCTGTCACCCAGGCTGGAGTGCAGTGGCACAATCATAGCGCACTGTAGTCTTGAACTTCCAGGGTCAAAAGATCCTTCCACCTCAGCCTCCCCCAAGTAGCTCAGACTATAAGCATATGCCACCATACCCAGCTAAGTTTTAAAAAGTTTTTTGGAGATAGAGGTCTCATTATCTTGCCCAGGCTGGTCTCAAAACTTTTGGCCTCAAGTGATCCTTCTGCCTCAGCCTCCCAAAGTGCTAGGATTACAGGTATGAGCCATTGTGCCCAAGCCAGACCAGTCTTGTCTTATATTGCCTGTGAATTTGGATTGATAGTTAAAAACCCTTTCCCTACGCCCAGGATATAGAGAAATTCAGTTTTATGTTTTTCTAGTAGTTGTGTAGTTTCATTTTTCGCATTTAGATCCACTTGGGGTTTCTTCTTGTGTATGGGGCAAGGTTTGTGTCTAATTTTAGCTTCTTCCAAATGTTTACCAGGAGTCTCAGCACCATTTCTCAAAAAATCTCTCTTTTCCACAGTGATTTGAGATGCCACCTTTGTCAGATACAAATTTCAGTAGTTGTTTGGATCTAATTCTCTTTGCTAGTTTTTTGAGATGTTAGATGTTAGCATTTGGGGAAGCTCTATGAGGGGTAGACTGAACTCTTTGTATTGTTTTTGCAGTATTTCTGTAAGCCTAAAATTAGTTCAAATTGAAATGTTAAAGAAAATACTGACTCCTGGTCACCACCCTTAGAGATTCTGATTTCATTGGTCTGGGACATAGCCTAGGCATGAAGGATTTTTTTTGTTTGTTTTCCTTTGAGACAGTCTCACAATGTCACCCTGGGTAGAGTGCCATGGCATCAGCTCACAGCAACCTCTAACTCTTGGGCTCTAGTGATTCTCTTGCCTCAGCCTCCCAAGTAGCTGGGACTACAGGCACCCACCACAACGCCTGGTTATTTTTTTCTTGCAGTTGTCATTGTTGTTTCGGCAGGCCCAGACGGGGTTCGAACCCACCGGCTAGGCCGGCACCCTAGCCACTGAGCTGTAGGCACCGAGCCACATGAAGGGCTTTAAAAACCCTTCTCATGAATATAATGGGCAACCAAAGGTGAGAATTACTGCCTTGAAATGATTGCCTCAATGGAGGGAAACAGAGCTGGATACTACAAAACAGAAGACGACTCTGAAAGTCATGTGCGCTGTGATCACAGGTGTATACAATATTCACAGAAAAAACAGGGAGGAGGCTCGGCACCTGTGGCTCAAGCGGCTAAGGCGCCAGCCACATACACCTAAGGTGGCGGGTTCGAATCCCCAGCCCGGGCCCGCCAAACAACAATGATGGCTGCAACCAAAAAATGGCCAGGCGTTGTGGCGGGCGCCTGTAGTCCCAGCTACTTGGGAGGCTGAGGCAGGAGACTCGCTTGAGCCCAGGAGTTGGAGGTTGCTGTGAGCATGATGCCATGGCACTCTACCCAGGGAGATAGCTTGAGGCTCCGTCTCAAAGAACAAAAAAAAACAGGGAGGAAATGAATGAAAATATCCACAGTGCTTCCCAATGATCGACCTGCTTGTTGGCATGATGAGTATTTTATTTTTTACTTTTTCTTTTTTTTACTTTCCAACAGTCTCTATATTTTTCTATGCTCAGATAAAAATTGTATTGGGAAAAAAAAAAGAAGACATGCTTTTTTTGTTTAATTGTGAAGCTTCTCACATGGGAACAGAAGGCTAGGTGTAGCCTGTCTGCCCTGTGTGGGTCAAATTTCTGGGCTATAGTAAAACATTAGGTCTTTAGGTAAGGATTTGTAGCATTTTCTGCAATAAGAAGTAAGGAGTAACATGCCCCATTCAACTTAATATGCCCTTTTAAGCTGGAAAGTTGAGCCCCATTGGAGGATAGAATTTCTGGAAGCACTGGGATTGATTCAAAAGACCATCGCCCTTTTCAGGCAGCCCCACTGACCCCTGCCCTGATAGATGTAAATTCAGAAAGCTGTTTGGAAGAAGCAGGACCCAGAAAAGAGAGCAGACTGTGAAGCTGGTGTGTGGCCAGGGCCCCAGCCTTTAACTAGCTGTGGAAGCACATTCAAGAGCAGGTGCTCTTTTACCTTCAAACTCTCAGGTACAGTGCAGCAGAGTGAGGCCTCACTTCTCAAGCATTACCGTGCATAGTAATCACTGAAGATCTTGTTCAAATGCAGATGCAGATCCAGTTGGCCTGGAATGGGGCCTGAGATTCTGCATTTCTAACCAGCTCCCCCAGTAAAGCCAGTGCTACTGGTTCATGGAGCCCACTTGGAGGGTTGAGGGTCTAAACGGTAGAGCAGTGCTGTGGTTCACAGTCTGTCCACATTTTGGAATCATCTTGGGTGTTTTTAAAACACAGATGCCTGCCTCTCACCCTCAGAGATTGGTCTGGGATATAGCATGGACTTCTAGGTTTATATAAACTCCCAGGTGAGGTGATTCTACTGTGCAATCAAGTTTGAGAACCACTGGGCTAGAATTAAATGATCACTAGAGGTCTTTCTAATATATTTGTTCTTAAGATTGTCCATTAGAAAACCTGGGGCACTTTTAAAATATGCTAATGTGTCAAAGTGACCTTCTGGGCTATTGGAAAAGCTCTGTTTTCATCTGGGTGCCAATTATACAGGTCTATACGTATATAAAAATTCATCAAGATCTAAATGTAAGATAGAGATTAGTAGACTTTATTATATGTAAGATGCCCCTCAGTAAAGAAGCACATTGAAATGAATATGTGCCGGGTGTGGTGGCCTATAATCCCAGCAAAGTGGGAGGCTGAAGCAGGAGGAGGATTGCTTGAGGCCAGGAGTTTAACACCAGCCTGGACAACATAGCAAGACCCCATCCCTAGAAAAGATTAAAAAATTAGCCAACCATGGTAGTTCCGGCTACTTGGGAGGCTGAGGTGGGAGAATTGCTTGAGCCCAGGTGTTTGAGGTTACAATGAGCTATGATTGTACCATTACATTCCAGCCTGGGTGACAGAGTTAGACCCTGTCCAACAAGAAAAAAGAAATACTGCTGCTTGTAACCTCTGCCAGAGATTCCAGGTCAGCTGGTTTGGAGTGGGAGTCCAGGCACTGGCACTAAAATGCTCTGGGGGTTCTAATGTGCATCTGCTCTCTCTAATATGCATTTAATGGGCATTGCTTTGCTGCTCCCTGTGTCCCCCAGGGTAGATGGGGGGCTGTGACTAGTATAAGTGACAGGAAGAATATAAGGTAACCTCTTTACAGCTGAGCCCAGTAAATGGGAGCCCATGTTGGGGTTTGGCTTCTGCACACTCCCAGATAATCAGATGAAAGTTTAATTTACATTTTGTTAAAGCATCTTGACCACAACTTGGCCAGATCGGTTGCTGCAGTATGTGGTTTAGGGAACCGAGTGAATTGTCCACAGGAGTAGCAAGAGCAGAAGCCCAAGCCAATTCCGATTCATCACCTTCCTGACAGTCTGACACCCTGTGTCCTCACCGCTGCCCTGAACCTCAGTGGGTACAGGGAGGCATATGGCCAAGGACCCAGCCAGACTGGTCCAAGATGGCTTTTCTTTGTAGGGATGTGACTTGCCTTAGACTCCTTGACCTAATATTTCTCCCTCCTCTCGCTCAAGAGAAGCTCCAAAACCCATTCTCATGGGTGCTCTGAGTTTCTGTCTATAACTAGACCCACTCAGGGGTCCTCAAACTTTTTAAACAGTGGGCCAGTTCACTCTCCCTCAGACTGTTGGAGGGCTGGACTGCGGGCCCTGGGATGAGTCAGCTGCTAAGCAGGACAGGCAGTGGCAGCAAAAACATCCGGCGGGTGGGATAAATGTCCTAGGCAGGCTGTATATGGCCCGTGGGCCGTAGTTTGAGGACGCCTGCAGTGGCTTCTGTGAATAATAATTTATTGTCCCGTCTAGTTACTTTTCTCCCAAGATCCCCCAACACTGATGGATCTTTGGCAGGTAGTAGGTGAGTTCTTCTTAACCTTTGATGCCCATGAAAATCATTAGGGAGTTTAGAAAATAACTGTGCCTGGGACCCCCACGCCCTGTCCCAAGACCAGCAGAATGACACACTGAGGAACAGGCTCCTGAAATCTCCATGCAGTATATATTTTTAACAAGTTCTCTGGGTAGTTCTCATGCACAGCCAAGGTTGAGAACCACTGAGTGAAAGCAACCTTGAGGACATAGTTGAGGTACAAGGTGGGAACCATCACTTTGGCCCCAGTGATTGATTTACTTTTTCATTCAACGAACATTCCTTGGCCACTTACCATGTACCAGTTACCACTATGCCAGACTGTAGCAATAAGAAAGTTAATTAAGACAGATTCTTAGTATACAGAATCCAGTTGGATCACAGAGCATTTAACAGCTTCCCTCACCCAGGAACACAGAGAAACATTTCATCAATTGATTGATAAATAATAATGCATGCATTGAGCCCAGAGCATCAGTGAACTAGTGAACCAGAAGCAGGGATTCATAGGTGAGCATCCCTCCTTGCTAATTCCTCTCCCAGGAAGTAGATTGTGGGAGTGGACAGGGGCAGGGGCCAGTGGCAGATGCACAGGGGGTCTGAAATGTTAGCAGCTGGAGGCACAAGACCCTGACTCGTCAGTAACCACATCGACTGGGTGGCGTCTGACACGTGTCTCTCTGGTTCATTCCTTCAGCGATCTGCAGGATCCCGTTGTCTGTCTTGCTGATCATCAACATGGCCTGCCATTTTCTCCTTCCAGAGGCTCCATCCCAGTTGTGCCTCCAGCCACTGTTCCTCCCCAGGTTTCTAGTGCCGTCTCTTTGGCTGAGCCCCTAGATCACCCACCTGTGACCCACAAGGCTCCTTCTCCAACAAAGGAGAGTCACCCCCCTTCTCCCCAGCCTTTACCTCCCATAGCTTCCAGCCCTGCCATTGATGTGCCCCCTCAGTTTGGAACTATCTCTTCCACCACGTTCCAAACCCATCCTTCGAGCATTCCACCGCCTGCGAAAGCCTCACTTTCCCCTCTCACCATGAAGGCCTCCGTGAATGTCAGTGTCACCACCAGCACACCTCCTGGCACGAAAGGTAAATATGAGGAGCTGAGCTGCTCTCAGGTGACTGGGATTTTGGCTGCTTGAACTGCAGCTGCCAGCCTGCAGATCAAGATATCTCTAATAAAGCCACATTGCTCTTTTTTTGTTTTCTTAAAAAAAATGTTTGCTTGATTTCTAGAGCTTTCCTTTAGGCATTCATACGACATAGCTGTGTCTGAGTTTGAGTGTTTTGGCCAATGTAGCGGCAGATAAATCACTCTGAGCAGCAAGCACAGATCTTGTTTTATGGAGACGGTTATTTCATAGGCCGCTTTCTTCTACAAAAGGTTGTCAGGCTACTGTATTCAACATCCTGAAGAGGAAACTTTTGATCTATTAAACACAGTAGCTCCATTTAGAAAGCAAAAGAAAAAAATCAAATGTTCTTAAAAAGCAGTCAGTTCCAGAGTAGCAGAGCTGCGGCTGAGCCAGGGTAGCTGCGGGGCGAGGGGAGACACACATTCCGAAGACTGATGCTTGGGTCTTCATAGGCTGTCACAGACAGTGTGATCTGGGGACAAACGACTTGACTCTCCTGATTCAGCCTGTTCTAGTAGAGATCAAAGTCAAGTCACTAACTGCATTCATTGGCTCGAGAACAAAGGTGCGCCAGACAGTGCTGTGAAAACCACAAAGGGTTCCCAGGCCCAAAGTAGGCTGAGGCTTAGAAGAGACTATGCAAAACAAGGAATAGGATGTTAGGTGGTCAAAAGCAGAGTCATTTGTTGTTAAAGACGGGTTTGGGGCAGTGTTTCTCAATTAGAAACACCACTGAGAGTCAGGCTTTCAGGTGATGGTCCCGCTGCTGATTTCACAGTATCAACTTTATCACAAAAGAGCATCTAGTGATCCGCGTAAAATCCTATACCTGATATAAATTACATGCAAGTATCCTTGTGCCTATGTGAACATTTACTAAATCCACTCATGTGCCTTTACATTTTTAGTTAGATTTATCAAAGTATAATTTATATACAGTAAAGTGTATCCAGTTTTATGGATAAATGAAATGTTTACTGTTCTATGCAGCTGAATAAACACCCACAGTCATGTGTCTACCATCATAATCAGGATATATAACTTCTCTACCACCCCCAAAGTTCCCACATGCCCCTTTGAAGTCAACACCTACCCCTGACCCACAGTCCCTGGCCACCATGGATCTGTTTTGTTTCCCTACTGTTTTGACTTTTCTAGAATGTCAAGTGAAGAGAATCACACAATATGTAGGCTTTTGAGTTTGCCTTCTTTCACTTAGCATAATGTATTGGAAAACTGGAGATCCATTCATGTTGTTGTTGTGTTTGGGCCCCCCCCCTTTTTTTTTGAGACAGTCTCACTGTGTTACCTTGGGTAGAGGTGTGGTGTCATCGTAGCTCACAGCAAGTTCAAACTCTTCAGCTCAAGCGATCCTCTTGTCTCAACCTCCCAAGTAGCCAGGACAACAGGTGCCCAACACAATTTTTGTTTTATTTTGTTTTTTCCCCTATTTTTAAGAGAGATAGAGTCTTGCTTTTACTCAGGCTGGTCTTGAACTTCTGAGCTCAAGGGATCACCTGCCTCAGCCTCCCAGAGTGATAGGATTACAGTATGAACCTATGTTTGGGCCCTTAATTCCTTTTATACTGAATACTATTTCACAGTGTGGATATACCACAGTTTGCTTACACATTCTCCAATTGATATACATTTGAACTATCTCGGGTTTAGGATTGTTAGGAACAAGGCCACAACAAACAGTCATGAACAAGTCTTCTTAAGGCATATTTTTTTCTTCTCTGGGACAAATGCCTAGGAATGATTTTGTTAGTTCACGGGGTCTGTGTGTTTTTCATTATTAATGGCGTTTCCATTGTGTGTTCCTCAAATGATTTGGCTCTTTGATATAGAAATTGTCAACACCGGCAGTTTTTCCGATCTTGAGAACCAAGTGTCTCAGATGGAGAAGTCTTTGGCCTTAGGGAGCTTGGAGCCTCACCTTGCTGGAGAAATGATAAACCAAGTCAGCAAACTCCTTCGTTCCCCACCTGCTGTGCTCGCTCCTGTGGCTCAAAGGTACAACCTGGCAAACTAAAGTAGTGGTGAGAGGGGGCCCTCAAATGAAGATGATGCTGCTTACGTGATTCATTATCACCAAATATTTTTCTCCCAAGTACTAGGTTCATCATGATTTCTCTACTTGGTACTCTGTGTTCTGCCCAGAATGGGGAGACAAAGTAGGACCGCTCAATTTAAACTGCCACCTGTCTTTACAGATTGCTAAAAGTAGTGGATGACATTGGCTTACAGCTGAATTTTTCAAACCAGACCATAAGTCTAACCTCCCCTTCTTTGGCTCTGGCCGTGATCAAAGTGAATGCCAGTAATTTTGACACAACTACCTTTGCGGCTCAAGATGCTGAAAATCTTCAGGTACAGATTGATTGATTGTGTAGTCTCTGTTGTACTTCATGATTCAAGTAATTACTATGTATAGTCAGGGGTGATATTCAAAATATTTACCATCTAGAACAGTAAGGCATTACAGAATCAAAAAAGACATTGGTCTTGGCTGGAGCAGGATGTCACAGGTCACTGTTGTGCCTTGTGTCAAACCCTTTAGCAACTGGATTACAGAAGTTTGGGGTGAGACGTGTCCGGTAGGAGGGTCTTTGGCAATTGGGAGAATAGGAAAGGGTATCAACTACTGTTTTTTTGTTTTGTTGTTGGTGGTGGTTTTTTTGAGTCACTTTGTTCCCCTGGGTAGAGTGCTATGGCATCATAGCTCACAGCAACCTCTAACTCTTGGGCTCAAGTGATCCTCTTACCTTAGTTTTTCATTTTTAGTAGAGATGGGGTCTCACTCTTTCTTGCTCAGACTGGTCTTGAACTCCTGAGCTCAAGTGATCCACCCTCCTCGGCCTCCCAGAGTGCTGAGATTAACAGGCATGAGCCACCGCTTCTGGCCTGGGCATCAGCTACTTACCAATCCATTTCAATACTGTGATAGCTGTTATAACTACACTGTTGTATACGGTGACGCTGAATATCATTCTGTTTCTGATGTTTTCTGTCCACCTGTTAGGGGGACTGAGGGCTGGCAACACCAAGGAAAACCAACTTTTGTTTTACTTTTTGTAAAGTCTTTTGCTTTATGAGCATATAGTTACATGAAGACTTGACTGTAACCGGTCACTAACCTGGTGTGTTAGCTGCTGGGGTCTCCCTGGGGTCTAGAGTCATCTCTCACTTTTTACCTATTTCTGTGTATCCTTCACATCTTCCCTGTTGTGCTTGGGGGCCTCCTCTCCTCATTACACTTTCTCTTTTTAATTTAGTAGCAACCAGAGAAACAAAAGTAGAAACCCCTTTACATTGAGATACCACGGATCCAGCCCTTACATGACCTTCCATCTTCATTGGTTGCGTTTTCCACTTCCTCATGATACTAGCTCCAGACATTTTTATTATCTTTTCACTTGCTTTTCAGGTTTCTCTGGAAACTCAAGCTCCTGAGAATAGCATTGGTGTTATTACTCTTCCTTCCTCACTGATGAGTAATTTACCAGCTAATGATGTGGAGTTAGCTTCCAGGGTTCAGTTCAACTTTTTTGAAACACCTGCCCTGTTTCAGGTAAAGTTGTCACTCCATGCTTTTGATTTCCATTCTGTTTGGAGTCGGAGGAATTTTATTTCTTTTAATTTTCAAATATTCTTAAGCTATAAGTGAAATGAATTGCTGAAACACTGCAGTCCCATTTTTAAACACGGCCTAACGATATTGGCAATAATAAATAACTGATACTTTTACATAGCATTTACTAATTGCTAAGCACTATCCTAAGCACTTACAAATGTTTACTCTAATCCTGTCAATAACATTGTGAAGGAAGAACTGTTATTGCCCCATTTTACAGATGAGGCAGTGGAGGCACAGAGAGGTTAACTGATTTGCTTGGGGGCACACAGCTTAAATGTCTTAACATTATGTTCCCTTTAAAGATTCATGAGATCCTGTTGTGTCTGTCTGCGATTTAACTCAATATTTAGGGCATTGCATAGTGGAACAGGCCCTACTTCTCACTGTGGTCCCTTGTGAAAGTCACCTTCCTCTCTGACCCTCAGTTTCTTCTTATTCTTCTTTATTTGTTTGTTTGTTTGTTTTGGTTAAAGTGAGGGTACAGACAACAAGATTACAATGTTTGCATCTGACCCTCAATTTCTGACCTGCATTGTACAATAGACAATGTGGACTAAACAGTCCTTAGTGTCTCTGCTAGCTCTAAACTCAATGATGATGTCTTATCTTCCCTTGTTGCTGATTCTTTGGTGTCCTAGGACCCTTCCCTGGAGAACCTCTCTCTGATCAGCTACGTCATATCATCAAGTGTTGGGAACTTGACCATCAAGAACTTGACAAGAAATGTGACAGTCACATTAAAGCACATCAACACGAGCCAGGTGGGGAGAGAACAGTCACTGACCAGGAACACCTGTGCAAAGTAGGCCTACGAGACATGGCTTGGAAAAGGCAGAGCCGTCAGCAAGAACCTTCAACTCAGTGGGCTTGTGTAAGACTAGAATCAGGCGGTCACTGCACCGAGTTTTAACGTGCTTAATAATTGACCACCTAATTAGCAAGAAGAATTGGTGCAAAATAGCTCGTATAGGTATTAACTGTGGGATTTCAGTGCGTGTAGATCTGTGGCTGCTGGCCTGACTCTCACCTCCAAAGAGATAACATCTCTCAGCTCAGCTCACATTGAATGTACCCTGTGACCTCACTGCTCAGCATGTGGTCTGCAGACCTGCAGCATAGGCATCACCTAGGAGTTTGCCAAAAATGTTGAACTCTCAACGCCCCCTCCAAACCTGCTGAGTCCGAATGTGCATTTTAACCAGGTCCCAAAGGGATTCCTGTGCACAATTGATAAGTTTAAGGAGTGCTGGCCTGTATTCGGCTCACTTGCTTGTAGGGATCATGTAAAATGAGAACTTCCCAAAACTCAAGATTCTGAAATTTAAAATACCATGGTTTTGTTTTGATCTCTTTTCACTTTTCTCAGTTCAGTAAATTATTTGTGATTTTTTTTTTCTTTCTCCTACAGGATGATGATTTAACAGTGAAATGTGTATTTTGGGACTTGGACAGAAACAGTAGGTTCCAGTCACAACCTTTTCAAAGTCTTGAGTGGCTGAGTGGGAGAAGGGGGAGGATTGCTGGGTGCGGTCACTTGCTGACAGATACTCTTCCTGATGCCGACAGGTGGCAGAGGAGGCTGGTCATCTGAAGGGTGCTCTGTCAAAGATAGGAGGCTGAATGAAACCATCTGTGCCTGCAGCCACCTGACGAGTTTCGGCGTTCTGTTGGTAATAATGGGCTATGTGGCTTTCAATTCTGGCATCCCGCTACAATGTCTAATTGATGGATGACTTTGACAGAGCAGCAGATATGATGTGGCAGAGTTAAAGACCAATGAGATTGCTCTTTTAAACAGCAAATGTGTCCTTGAACATGGAATACAAGTACTTTTTTTATTATTAAATCATAGCTGTGTACATCAATGCAATCATGGGGTACAATGTGTTGGTTTTATATTAGGGTGACCTGACGTCCCACTTTTGGGGGGACAGCCTCGATTTTCAATGATTTGTTCCGCGTCCCGCGGTGTTTTAAAAAAGTCCTGATTTTTGGAAAGAATGCACAAATGGGCTCCGCGCCTATAGCTCAACCGGCTAAGGTGCCAGCCACGTACACCTAGGGTGGCGGGTTCGAATCCCCAGCCTGGACCCGCCAAACAACAATGACGGCTGCAACCAAAAAATAGCCGGGCGTTGTGGCGGGCGCCTGTGGTCCCAGCTACTTGGGAGGCGGAGGCAGGAGACTCGCTTGAGCCCAAGAGTTGGAGGTTGCTGTGAGCTGTAATGCCACGGCACTCTGCCCAGGGGGACAGCTTGAGGCTCTGTCTCAAAAAAAAAAAAAAAAAAAAAAGAATGCACAAATGGCCAGAAGAACAGGAAGGGAATATATCGTTTTCAGCTGCCATGTGGCTATTTCGCCAGAATATGAGTTTTATATTATTTTTGTTAATTTTATAATGTTAAACGGTAATAATTACAAATAATTATTGAGAAGTGATTATGGAGAACTGCTTATCAAAGTTTGCATTGTTGTCAGGCCCTGCCCTGCCCCCACCCCACCCCCTGGCCATGTTGTCCTGCTTTACAAATGTTAAAATCTGGTCACCCTATTTTATATACAGTTTGAAATATTTTCATCAAACTAGTTAACATAAGCAGAATACAAGTATTTTTAAACATTCTCCTTTTACCTTTAAATTTTTCTCTTTTAAATCGCTTAGAAGATTAAGGAATTCTGATTCTATAGAATGAGTAATGAAAATTGTTTTTGTTTGCGATGCACTTTAAAATTTTTACGAAACACTTTGACATAAATGATCTTATTCAATCTTTGTAACAGTCATGCAAGATAAATAGAAATGGTAGTAGTTACTGTCATTTTATTGAAACCAGAATTAAGATGCATTTCCTAAGTAATTGCCCACAGTTATAGCATTAAGAAAGCTAAGAGCCTGGAGCCAAATTCCAGTCTTAGTCTCTTAGTCCACGCTTTTCCAGGGAACTATAATGCAGTGATCAAGTATGTGAGCTTTGGATTCAGCCATACCTGAATTTGAATCCTAGCTTCTCCACTTCCTAGCTGTGTAGCCTTGGGCAAGTTCTTTAACTACTCTGGGCCTCAGTCGCCTGATCTTTATATGATACAATAATAATTGTGTCTACCTCAGGCTTGTTGAGCAGCCTATGAATGGGTAGCTAGAACACTCAATAAATGTAAGCCATTCTTTTATTTATTTAGAAATATTTGATTATTGCTGAGCATGGTGGTATGCACCAGTCTCCCAAGCTACTTGGGAGGCTGAAGTGGGAGGATTGATTGAGCCCAGGAGATCTGATGTGTGCTGTACTGATCAGGTGTACTCACTAGGTTTAGCATCAGTATGGTGACCTCCTTTGAGCAGGGGGCCACCAGGTTGCCTAAGGAGGGGTAAACCAGCCCAGGTTGGAAACAGAACAGGTCAAAACTCCTGTGCTGGGCGGCACCCATAGCTCAGTGGGTAGGGTGCCGGCCACATACACTGAGGCTGGTGGGTTTGAACCCAGCCTGGGCCTGTTAAAACAACAATGATAACTGTAACACAAAAATAGTGGGGTTGTGGTGGTGCCTGTAGTCCTAGCTACTTGGGAGGCTGAGGCAAGAGAATCGCTTAAGCCCAAGAGTTTGAGGTTGCTGTGAGCTGCAACGCCACAGCACTCTACCCAGGGCCACATCTTGAGACTCTGTCAAAAAAAAAAAAAAAAAAAGACTCCTGTGCTGATCAGTAGTGGGATTGTGCTGGTGAATAGACACTGCACTCCAGCCTGGGCAACATAGTGAGACACCCCCCCCCCAGCTCTTAAGAAAAAAAAAAAAGAAATATTTGATTATTGAAAGCAATATTTTATTTTCCAGGACCTATCTCGGACATCCTTACTGCCTGCTCAGATGATGGCTCTGACGTTTATAACATATATTGGTTGTGGACTTTCATCAATTTTTCTGTCAGTTACTGTGGTAACCTACATAGCCTTTGAGTGAGTATCCCCAACTGGAAACTTGGATTGCAGGAACCAGTGCTTACTTCTATTGACAACATTTATTAATTAACTTTTTCCTTGGCCTTCCTTATCCTGTACACCCACCTATGTGTAAATTTTATGGGACTTGTTGGTTTATATGCTTGCTTCCTTCCAATAGTCTTTGAGCTCACTAAAGGCAGGGGTTGGGGTTGTGTCATAATCGTGTCTTAGAGTCATTACATGCCTGGTACCTAGCAGGCAGTAAGTGTAAAATGAAAGATGGATGCAGATGCCAAGATCCAAGAATTTGCTATGTGAAACTATGTATAATTTGCTATGGCACTATGTATAGCATAAGAACCGTGCTTAATAAATTAAGTTTCTATGTGAAACTATGTATAATTTGCTATGGCACTATGTATAGCATAAGAACCGTGCTTAATAAATTAAGTTTCCAAATTAGACGGAGCAAACATGAACGATTGAATATATTAACTGGTGTGGGAATGAGAAAGAATAAGGGTGCAAAATCTTCACTGAAAAAGGTACTCAGTGAGTGTAGATTTAGAGCAAGAATGGCGTTCTAAATAACAGCATCTTCTTGGCTTACCAGAAGGGTCCCTTTGGCCACTTTTTGGGGGAGAACTCTAGCAAATTCTATTGGAAAACAACTTCATGGACATTTTTATCCCATTAGCTAAATGAAACAATATGAAGGTAATGGGATTTAGATTTTGGACACAGATCAAGAAATGTACAAATTTATTTTCCGTGCCAAACTTAGGGTCCAGCTGTGACTACAAATTTTCTTAGTGGAGTTTTGGAAATATTATTAGTGAACTTACTAAACTACCATAAGGCCAGCCATTACTCAGAATGACTTCATCAGTTTTAATTTTACACACATAAACACGTACATGTCATCAATTAGCTGTATTTTCCTATGCCGTTACATTTAGCTATAGTTTAAGCTCTTCTTTCCATGATCTCACTTTAGCCAATAACATATTATAATATGGGAATCACTATGTTTTGAAGATCTGACGATAGCAGCCTATTATGTGAGAGGCATTAGCAGATGCTTCTAGAAGTTTGGGAGAAATGAGATGGGTGCTCAGCAGAGTCTGCTACAAACTGTTTAAAAGTATGCGTCAATGGTCAGTATATAAAAGGTCCTGCAGAAATAATAGACATAAATTTTCCATATATTATAGTAAGATTTTTTTCTTTGTTTGTGTTACTGGTATTAATACGCCTCCTCCCCATATACACTAAAAGAGAAGAAATCTATATATACAGATGTTTACCAAAGAATAAAAATAAATTGCTAAAACTCAGCGACAACCTATCAAATAGGCTTGTGTAAGGCTTGGCAGAATGTAAGACTGTCTTTTCTTGTTCTTTCCTTTCAGGAAGATCCGGAGGGATTACCCTTCCAAAATCCTCATCCAGCTGTGTGCTGCTCTGCTCCTGCTAAATCTGGTCTTCCTCCTGGACTCATGGATCGCGCTGTATAAGATGCGAGGCCTCTGCATCTCAGTGGCTGTATTTCTTCATTATTTTCTCTTGGTCTCATTCACATGGATGGGCCTGGAAGCATTCCATATGTACCTGGCCCTTGTCAAAGTGTTTAATACTTACATCCGAAAATACATCCTTAAATTCTGCATTGTGGGTTGGGGTATGTATCACATTCCTCGCCCATTACCCAGACTTTCTCTGCATCTCCTCCAGTGTTTTGATTTTTAATCAGGCAGAGGCAGTGATGCTGCAGATTGCTTCCAGCAAAGCTTCTCCAAAAGCTTCATACTCTTACCTGTGCGCTGCCCAAGAGCAACTTTGTCAAGCCTCTTTCTAGAACACCTGGATGTTCTGTGTTTCTTCTGGATTAGTTATGAATGAAAAACTCTTCGAGGTTGGACCATGTCCCTTTGTATCACCAGGGACTATAATAGAATTGGGGCTAGCACAGAAGGTGCCAGAAAGTACTCAATAAATTGGAAAAGTTAGCTTGGTAGGAGCCAAACTCTCAGTCCCTTAGCTCCCAGGGAGCTGTACTCTATTTTGTTCCTCCTGGGCATCAGATAGGTCACATGTATAACTGTATGCTCAGAAGGGCAGAATGAGGGAATGTGTGCATAAACCTGATAGAACTTCATTATCGTACGGCCAGGATTTTTCAGATTATATAACCTGTCAGTGGTGGGTCACAAAGTGTCAGATTCTCCAAAGATCTTGAAGGTTCTTCATTCAACTCCCCACCCAATGTAGAAACCTCCTCAACTTGACCTGACTTATCCTTGACTAAAGATAATCTAATGTCTGCCTGAACTCCTACTATTACTGGGGAGCTCATTACCCTATAAGATGGCCAATAACCACTTTCTAAAGCTCTACAGTTCTGTTTTTCCATTAAGTTGAGTTGGCTCGCTGGTGGCCCTTATCAATGGTCTTGGTTTTTCTCTCTCAGGCAGAAAATAGTAAGTTGATATCTCTTCTGCCAGAGAGTCCTTTAAATAATCCACAAGTAATATATAACGTTATGTGCTACATATAATGCCCTATTTTTCTTTTTTTTGAGACAGAGCCTCAAGCTGTCCCCCTGGATAGAGTGCCCTGGCATTACAGCTCACAGCAACCTCCAACTCCTGGGCTCAAGCGAGTCTCCTGCCTTCGCCTCCCAAGTAGCTGGGATCACAG